CGGGTCATTCTATGATTCTATGATAAGACTGACAAAAGTAGCTACTGTCTGGGAAAAGCCATTAACAATAGATTTACACATCTACACAGAGAAATTGAAGAACTACAGAAAACCAAATTATTGCACAAATGAATTCCCTTACCTCCACCACTTCAGGGAAGAGCTCACAGAAGACTTTATCTTTTAAATTAAATGCTAAGCTTTGCGCAGCGAGCTGTCTTTTCTGGGAAGGAAACAAAAATTATCAGCAGTTGCATATAAACAAAGTTAATATACTTTAATTCAACATCTGATTATTTCCCACAAGAATGGTGCAAACCACTAACCAACCAGTTTCTAACATTTAAAACTTCATATTTGTGAATATTATTCACTACAACAGGCATTTCTAGACACAAGTTATGTTCTCAATTCTTCATCTTTTGGACTACTCTTCTGTACGAGTGTGCCCGCTTGGCAGACACTTCCAGAGGAAGGAATAAGAAAGTCCTAACCACACTGCTAAAAGGGATTTAAAATTGTACAGAAGGTAGATCACACAGTCTGGAGCTTACTGTGAACTCTGATGTCTCTATGCTGCCCAGGGTGGGGCCCTTTTCCACCATAAAACTAAGAAGGCCCGTCAAGATCGTCGAGACCGACCAAGCTGGATTCCATGTATCCGGGTGGAAATCGGTGATTGAAAGACACAACCTGCAAAAGGATAAGACAGGCAGTGTGTTTTATTTTTGTCATTAAAATTATTACACATTATGCATATTGCTAAAATGATGTTAATTGCTTAAGTGTTAGAAGAAAATCCTTACCTTGTATTACACTTAAACCTTCCATTAGGTGTAATCATATAAATACTAGGAGGTTTAAAAGGAAATTCTCTGGGGAATATTAGTTTCCCATGATAATAGCCACCTGCATTACATAAAGAGATGAATTACTTATTTTGCATAAAGATGAAGTCCTAAGCTGCTATTCAAAATGGGCCAAATAAAACCCTTTACCTATCTCCTTTTCCCCCTCACACTAAAGAGATCAAGCTCATCATCTTGTGCTTGTAAAACACAGGAATAATAACCCAAACCTGCAGTAGATTTACTGCGGAAGCAAGTCTCTCACATGCATATTACACACTGTAATCTCTGTTGTTAAGTCCATAACACATTTAAGGAAAACCAGCCAAAGTGTATTTAATACAATACAAATGGGTTAGTTTTCCAGAAACAGAGCTAACTGCAAATACAACCCTACGAAGCACCCGATTTCAAAAAGCATTTTGTGAGAGGCTCCAGAAGACACTGTGACTACAACAAATTAATAAGGCTTTTATGTTCCTCGCTTTCTCCAGAGAAATTCATAAAGAGAGTATGTTTTGGTTCACTGAGAACATTTATGTAGTAACAAAAAGGGATTTTTTGAAATTATCTGTGACTGTCCCATACTATGTAAAGTGACTTATCTGCACCAAGATTTTTAGCAATTACTTAACAGGAAGTTAAATGTCTTCAGTTCAACCTACATGTGGTTTTGTTACAATCCTCAATAACAGAAATATTGCTAACAAACAGTGCTACCACTAACTCTTTTCAACAACCTATCACACAAGTCAGGGACAGCTTTGAAACTGCACTAACAGATTTTAGAGCTGTTCACACTAGTTCTATTTTGCCCATTCAAACAGGCATGCCAATCACAACATAAAGCACATACACACTTTTGCTACATGCAAACTTTTACCTTCATAAGGAGTCATTTCAGGTCCCCGGACAACATAGTGCCTAAGACAAAGAAGGAAATTTAAACTGTATGAAAGCCATCACACAATCAGACATCAATTTCTCTAGAAAACTGAAGATCAATATCACTTCATCAAAAATTTCATCCTGCATCTCCCAAAACCAAGATTCCCATACAATCCGTAGGAGCGAGGGAGTCAGACTTGATGACCTGGAAGATCTTGTTCTCTCCACAAGTAAGTGAACAGTTCATTCTAATTCTTACCATTCAAGGATATTAGATGGGAGGGGCTCCGCACAGATATAAGGCACTGGATCTTTCTTAATTCGAAGGTAGTCCTGTTTAAGTCTCTGTGTTGCTGTCGTTGGTGCTCTCTTATTACTGTTGTTGCTCATCTAGTTTTCAAAAAAACCATATCAATACAATCTCAATACAATCAATAGACACAGAGCTACTATGCTTCATTGAACACTGCTCCAGACTTTTTGCAAAATCTACTTTACAGAGTATTTCTTTAAAATATAAATTAAATTACCATAACTTTTAACTGGCAAGAACCATGCAAAATCTTAAAACACACCCAAGAGGCTCTGTATATTGCTAAAAATGGGAAAATACTGGTTCCAGAATACCGTTGTTTAAATACCACAGGGAATTGCTATCACGAAAAGATGCTGCACTACAGAACCCAACTGAACTTATTTTAATAACCAGTCCTGTGTTTAGGCTGAATGCACACCATTACGACACTGTTTTTAAAGGGCTTAAGTCTTTTTGAGTAATTAATTTCCCTATTCAGTTTGAATATCTATTACATAAATTTGCACATGATCTTAATCTGCTTGGTGTTTCTACCATGCAGTTATTTTAAATAAATAGCAAACCAAAACCCACAATAACCTTATTACTGACTTTGAGGTGAAGGATTTTAAATTAAATCTGCTGCCTGCTTAAGAGTCAGTTGAATTTACAGAACGGAACTTCTGAGCCAGATTATTCTCTTCTAGATAAACAAAGACCTAATCCAAAATGAGGCAAGTCAGTGTGAAGAAAGGAAATTCCATGCTGCTTACAAGACAAAGAAAGCATTAGCCCTTAACAAGGCACCTACAGAACCCACACCAATTAACAACTGCTATTTAACTCACTTTCCCTGGAGAAATTTAGCACTACTTAGGTTTCTATGTGGAAATTCAAGCAAGAACAAAACAAAAAAAAATTTACAAACAGCTTGTCTAAAGAGATAAGACAATGTTTACCATGGGACAGCAGCAGTAGACACAAAAAGTATGTTAAATGCCTATTTCTATTCCTTTACTACCTTTACAGATAGCAAAGTACAATTTATCAAAGGAATAATACTTAAACAACAAGCAACAATTGTATGTTGTCAAAAATTCAAACCCTACTCAGAATAAACATGTTTAACCTGGCTTTTGTCAAAATTATTGTAAATCCTTGTTTGAAACATATTTTCATACAAAAAACCAGGGTTTTTTTGTTGAAGGAAGTCATATGTTTTTAAGTCACACCTCTTCAAACCATAAAATTAAGAGTTTTTCTCTAAAGAAGTCCGCTTTGGCTTTAAAGCATAAATTAAAAAGACAGGATTTAATCTAACACGATTATTTGTTCTCAAGCCTTGCAATGGTGCCCTCACTACAGACTGCAACAACGCACAGAAATATTTTTACAGCGCTCAGGACAGTTATTGCCACTTTAACCCCCCAGAGCCGTCTCGGAGAGAACATTTGTACCTTAAACACAGTAAAAAAAGGGCAACATTCACAGAAGCTGCGACCGCAAAGCATTTAATCTAACACGATTATTTGTTCTCAAGCCTTGCAATGGTGCCCTCACTACAGACTGCAACAACGCACAGAAATATTTTTACAGCGCTCAGGACAGTTATTGCCACTTTAACCCCCCAGAGCCGTCTCGGAGAGAACATTTGTACCTTAAACACAGTAAAAAAAGGGCAACATTCACAGAAGCTGCGACCGCAAAGCCATTATCCCATCTCGACCCCACCATTTCCCAGCAGCGTGAAAGCCACTCGCCAGCGCAGAGAACCAGCCCCAACCCCGCTGGGTGACCAGGGACCAAACCCAAGGGCACCCCAGGTCCCCGAGGCCTTGGGGAAGAGCAGCCAGCGCCTCTTTCGGCGGGAAGCGGGACCCCGGCCCCGCCTGAGGAGACGGGCGGCGAGAGAAGGAACCGAAGACGAAGTAAGAGGACAACTGGGGAGCTCACAGCGAGCTGGCCGCCCAGCACGGCCCC